GATGGCCCTGCGCTTCTCCTCGTCGAAGCGGCACAGGCGCTGCTTCACAAGCTTGGAGCCTGGCCTAATATTCAAGGCATGCTCGACGACTTCCCTTAGGATGCCCGGCATGTCCGAGGGTTTCCACGTGAAGATATCTCTGTTGGCGCGGAGGAAGTCGACGAGGGCTTGAGCTTTAGGTAGGTGTAGTTGGGGATGGCCATGAACTTCGTGTAGCATGGTCATCCCAGGATGTCGAATAGCTCCTTGGTGGTCCAAGGGCCCTTATGTCCCAACTTGTGGACCAAGGACTCATAGGTGATCCCAGACAGGAAGGCTCCGATGATGTCGGCGTCGGTGACATCAGGTAACTCATTGCAATGCCTAGAGAAGCGTCAGATGTACTCGTGGAGAGTCTCTCCGGACTTCTGTTGGCAATTTTTTAGATCCCAGGGATTCCCAGGGCACGTGTAGGTGCCCTAAAAGTTTCCCACAAAGATCTCCTTCAAGTCCGCCCAACTTTGAATCTGGTTGAGCGAAAGGTGCTCTAGCCATGTTCGCGCCGAATCGGCCAGGAACAAGGGGTGGTTGCGGATAATGAAGTAATCACTATCCGTGCCGCTAGCTTGACAAGCAAGCCGGTAGTCCTCGAGCCACAAGCCAGGGTTCGTCTCCCTAGAGGCGGGACGTTGGTCGACCGTCGATACCACGGCAGGAAATCCGCATTGAGGATGTGCCGACCGAAAGCCTGGGGGCCCGGCAGGTCGGGGCTTGGGCTTCGGTCTTCACCACTGTCATAGCATCTGCCGTGATGAGGATGGTAGCCATGGCCGCCTTCTCTCTCTTGTCACCCCTTCCGCACCTTTGGCCGTCTAGGATGTTGTGTGCGTCACGGTTGGGGCCGAGACGCTCATGCACCAGGACCATGGCAATTCCCTCGCCATCACGTGGCACTTGGTGGACGGACATGTCCCGGCCATGTCATCCCAAAGACATGCGCTAACTGGCATCGAGCTCGTATCGCCTAGACAACGAGCTTTCCACCTATTGCACTGCTGCTCGCTCGAGTAGGGTGCGGATCTCGTGATGGGCCCAATAGTCTTTGGGTGTCGAGGGCTCTGAGAGCCTTTAGAGCAGGGCCACCACGGCAACTATGTTCTGACTGGCCCGGGCGAAGTGCGGAGGCCTCCGTTGTCCTCGATGATCCTCCGGTTTACGTCACAGGTGATGGCACGTGGGCGGCCACCAACCCCACGATGCTTGATCTCACATTCGAGCTCCACGCGCTCCTGCTCCAGCTAGAGGCGTGCATCCTCGAGCTCCTAATGCCGCGCCCTTAGCTATTCCATCTGCATGCGGGGAAGGCCCCACGCATCTTCTTCAACTTTGTCGTCGAAGTCATTCGGTGGGGTAGCCCCTCCCTCATGGACGCTTTCGATGCGTCCTTCGGGGGTACCTACCATAAAACATTCTCGCGAGGGGTGATGGCTCCCCCTACTAGAGTCAGAGTCGGAGATCGACTCTAAATCTCCCACGAGAAGGTCGTGGAAAGACTCCACGACGTAAATCGACCATTCCCACAAATTTGTCATCTGTGGGAGGCGGGCACATGCGCTGTACCGCGAGGCAACCAACGGTCCTCGTGGCATTGTGCAGACCGGACGGGAACGCTATCGGGGTGTCCCGAGTGAGATATTCTAGGGAGAGCGGCTCTCCTCCGGCAAGCTGCGTCATGATGTTGGCGAAGGAGAAGGTGAGACAGTGCACACCCTCCCTAGACGGTTGGGGTCCTAGGAAGGAGTCAAGCTGACGCTCCAACCTCTCATAATCGAAGCTGAGGAGCTAGTCGCACCCGGGGACATGGGCCTCCGGTGTGTGCAGCTACAGCTCCTCAAGGGTTTCCACGGTTGCGTCAAGGTCGGTGGAGTGAGGAAGTTGGACGGGGGCAGGAGCCCGCGCCAGCACTCCCTCCATGGTGACGATGAAGTCTAGGCTCCCAAAGTGCATGTGCACGCTTGGGACCTAGCTAACGCCGTGGCTAGCCATTCGTGGCCTATTGTGGACGACGAGACATGCTAAAGCCCCCTACCTAGCGCGTCAATTGTCAGTGTTTCGAATCATCGGCTAGTAAATTTCTAGTTTGCGCGTCTGACCCGAATGGTTGTGCTCGGAGGACACAAGGATTTATACTGGTTCGGGCGGAACGTTCCTACGTCCAGTCTGCTGCTACTCGTGTTACCGGCACTTGGTTTGTAGTAGGGGTTACAAACAGGCATGAGAGGGAGAATGTCCCAACTCTCTGGTGAAAAGAGTGAGTCTAGTTGAGCTCTCTGTCTACTGCCGAGTGCCTAAGCCTTCCGCCGTTCAGACGTGTTAGATGTGTCTTAGACTGCCCCCCCCCCCGTGGGGTGCCCTGCTTCCCCCTTTTATAGATGAAGGGGGAGATGCAGATTACATCGGAGAGAGAGAGAGAGACGAGGAGAGGAAGGCTATCGGGATTGCAACGTCTTCTATCTCCTTTACGCGGGTCCCGCCGGCCCTGTAGATGATGACGGGGATGGCTCCTCGTCGCGGCCCTGTTCGTCACTGGCGCCATACATGGGCGTCGTCAGCCGGTCATGGCGCTCCATCTCGTCCTAGCAGACGGTATGGCTCGCTGATGCCCTCGCTGGAGGCCGTAACGGGAGTAGGTAGCACAATGCCGGCACACCCAATGCTGTTGGCGACGTGTGTCCTCAACATGGCCCATCGTGATCGTGGGTCACGTCAAGACACGCCTGTTCCCTTTCTGGCGTCAGAAGTTTGACCCCGGACTCGTACTTTTAGACCCGTAGTGGTTGGGGGGCGGACGGACCTCCGTCGGGCGAGGGGGAGCTCGCACCCTCGGGGTCGGGCGAGGCGGAGCCTGCGCTCTCGGAATAGGGCGAGGCGAAGTCCGCGCCGTTGGGGTCGGGCGTGACGGGGCTCTCGCCGAGGGGTCGGGCGAGACGGGGCTCTCGCCTTGGGGTCGGGTGACCCGGATCCCGTATCCTTGAGGTCGGGCGAGACGGAGCCGTGACCCTCGGGGCCAGGCGAGACCAAGATACGCTCTTGACCATCCGAGGGTGTTAGCGTTCGCGGCCATTAGTTTCCTTCTTCCGGGTATCCCTGATACTGATACCCGACACATATGCAAGTAAATTCAATCAATGACATCCAAAGATCAATGGCCTCATGTTGATTTAGGCTACAAAATCAAGAAACCTAAAATGAGAAGGAAACCTGGGAGGCCAAGAAAATCTAGGATAAAGCCACATGATGAAGTTACCACTACTAAGAAAAGGAAGATGTGTTTTGAATGCAATGAATTAGGACATACAACCAAGACTTGCCAAGGAGGTCCGCTAGTCAAAAGAGGAGACAGTCAACACCACAAGATGGATCAGGACAAGGAAGCAATGACCCAATGTGAGTCATACATACATTGCTGCCCAATTCCATTTATTTATCCCAATTATTTATATTTACTTGTACTAATATATTTTTTCTAACAAACATTAAGTGCAAGTGCTAGTGCTAGTGCTAGTGCTAGTGCAAGTGATACTGTAGCTACAAAAGGAAGAGGAAGGGGAAGGGGAAGAGGAAGAGGAAGAGGGTCAGCAGAGGCCAACAATGAGACAAAGTAAGACAAGCCAACATTGCTTCTCTTTACTACATATTTTAATAACTTTACTAACATAATTGTTCTCTTTTTTTTATATAAAGTGCAAGTGCTTCAGGAAGGAGAACATGAAGGAGCGGAAGAGCAGCAACTTCTGGGAGGCTTGCTACTTTGTTGGGTTTCGATGCTTGATATGTAGCTCATAACTAGTTGCCTAGAGAACTCACTAGTAGCTCCTACTTTTGTTTGACATGTCATTTAGACCTATATGTTAGTGTTTGACATGTCATTTGGACCTGTATGTTGGCTTCTACTGTGGTACTATAGTGACATGTTGCATGAATCTGGTTTATATATACTAGTTGTGTGATATTAAATTGTGTTTATGTGGATTATCGGCTGAAATGTTGTCGAAATTTTCTAAAATGTATGTATAAAAAATATCAACTGGCTATCTGAAACTAGGGGTAAAAAGACAAATAACATAATAAAACAGGTAAAACGCATGGACAAACTTGTCCTTTTATCCAAAAGTTAACACCGTTAGAGGCACTTAACAAACCAGGGGTAAACTCTTCCTTCGTTTAAAAATAGCATGGGCAAAATCACAAAGTTAAAAAAACAAGGACAAAATCACAAATGGTCATCAAAACAGGGGTACAAACGTTTAAGCCCTAGGATATTTTTATATGAAAGTTGTATCTCTCAATAAGATATGTAACTTTTTAGTTTTGAGTTTTTATTTAAAGAAATAGAAAATAAAAGAATAGCAATAGTCAGCAAAAAGGGACCTCATGACTGGAAATAAACAACAGCGGCAAACCGTTAGAGTTCTAAACTCACGGAAGTGTCAAATAGAAAATAAAAAAATAAAGAGGTAACAAAAAAAAGAAAGATTTTAAATTTGGGTGTCAAATAGAAAAGTAGAAGTTTTTCTAGTGTTAAATAGGAAATTTTATCCTTTACATTTGGACTGATGTAGCTTCTGATTGATTTCTACTGGCATCACAACGTTGTATTCAATATGTTTGCTATCGAATAGATTTGAAGTGTGACGATTGGTGATGACTGATGAGTGACGAGATTGGATCAATTCAGGATGAGGCTAACCACCATCTCTGTTTTTTTTTGAGGGAAGCTAACCACCATCTCCTGCCAAGATTGTTCACAGTACCCCGAAATCACAGAGAAACCACGCCATGGATGTCTAGCTGGAAAATTCCTCCATATGTTAAACATAAGCCCATGAACTTGAAATGTAGGCAGACAGTACGAACACTTTTTATTACAACTACTAGCTGGGCACGACTGATTTTTTATTACACTAGTGTTCCAATGCTGCTGCAATCACTCTAGACTCTTTTAGTTGTCGCACCCAGGTTTAAAGGTTTTTCTCATTAGGTAAAACAGACCGTGTCACCTTCACCAAGAATGACGCAAAATCAGTCTTGATCAATTGATCGGCATGCCCATGTTGGTGTGCCGTGAAGGAGCAACAATGTTCTGAGTAACCGGAGGACTCTGCGCCTACCTTGAACTTCAATTCCATCTGAGTACCCATCACTACCGCAACCACATACCTCTTCAAGCCACGGGGCTCACCAATGGTGCCATCAAAGAGCCGGATTTCTTCGTCTAACCCGCTGATGAAACAGCCGAGACACAAACGGAAGATGTCTTGCACTTCTGACGCGGTAACTTCTACGGTTACCTCAACCGCACGGTCGAGACGTGATGCACTTATGTCAATGGCACCATAATCGCCAATGATGCGATTTGTGAATACAGAACGATCCACTGTGCCCATGAGGCCTATCACAGATACACCATCAATCAGCTGTAGATCATCCTTCTCTTGTTCACCCGTCTTGATCTTCATATCATATTCAATTAGAGTACCGTAATCCAAACTGATCCCGCGCTTCGGGGCCATGTTGATAAGAGAACCCTACAAAATTACAGTTAAAAGAAAGAAATATGTACTTTCAAGAGAAAAAAGTATACATGGGGAGCAGCTATAACACAATAAATGACTATGGCACATAGACCATAGCTTATTCTGGTTTAAGTAACTTAGTAATCAAGAGTGCAAAATGCAAACTGAGCCTACATCTATTAAATAATTCAAGAGCACATGCACAGCCAATATTATACTATGTCATACACCTCAACTGTTGTATTCTATGCATTATGCATGCTCAAATTCGGCTTTATATTTAGAAAAATGAATGAAGTAATTCAAAATATGGATCAAGTTTAATTAACTCCCTCAAGCGTTGAGGTTCATCTACTTAAACCCTCAAGTACAAAATTGGATATTTGACCCATAAGTATTCCACAGTCTAAATAAATCCCTAGGAGAGGTTTTGGAGGTGGTTTTGCTCTCATGGCATGCAAAATTATTGCTAGCCCAGAACCACTCCAAAATTGGCCTAGAAGGTTATTAAGACGGTGTTGAATATGTAAAGGGTTTGAATACCTTGTTTTGTAGTTGAGGGGGTTAATGAACCTCAATACTTGGGCCTATTAGCTAGACTTATCCCTTGAAAGAATTGCAGATAAGTATGGATGTGCACCTGCTCCACTGTGAAGGGATCATCCCTACTAATATTGACGACATAGTTAAGAAATGGTTCCAGCTCATCCCGTGCTGCTATGTAGCCATACAACTCTACTTTGCCAGCACCCACAGGAATTTTAGCCAACTTTAATGAGAAAATTTGCAACATGTGACGAGGATAATGGCGCAAACAAATTCCATTGTCCATGTCGCAATCCGTGGGGTTTGATAACATCATTGCCTCCAACCGAGCTTCAAAAAATAAAAATTATATTGTAACTGGAAATTAATACAGCAAACAACATACTCCTTCCATCCCTAAGGTTTGGTAACATCATTGCCTCCAACCGAGCTTCAGAAAAATAAAAATTATACTGTGACCGGAAATTAATACAGCAAACAACATACTCCTTCGATCCCTAAATGTTTGCCAAGCGAAAAAAGGGAATATGCCACTTGAAATTTTCCTTTTCATCTAAGTGGAAACTATTTATGTTCTTTGTACTAAGACTTTCTCTCTCACAAAATGTCTTCCAGGCCAAACCAAAGAAAAAGAGTTTTTTTTTTCTCAAGCACGCAGGAGAGCTGGATATCATTGCATTAAAAAAAGAAAGAGTCTAATCACCTCTGAAAGGAAAACTTCCACTTTTTCTACCCCAATGTATTTCAGAACCCCTAAACTGTTTCTAGGTTCACTATTAGATAATTTGCTGGTCTTCTTGTGCATGAAAGTCTGCAACTGCAGCAGCAGACTTCGCAGGGCTGAATAGCAGCCAAGCTTTAGTGAGAACACTAGACTTTTGGTAGACTGCTAGTGTCCCTCAGCTATCCTGCCCCATAGGACAGTAGATTATTGATTCAGACTTACTCTTTGTATATATATGCTACCATGGTATGATGTGAAGTAGTTCAGCAGCAGTAGCACTCCGAAGTAGTGCATCAGCACTCTGAGTGAGTTTTGTGCTCTGTTCTCCCTTCTGCACTATCACTCTCAAGTTTGTGTGTGCGCATGGCTGAGGGTGAGGGTCTGCACCTGATTGCCGGCTAACATTCACTTCACCTATGAACTGCTTCAGGTCATTTCACCCCTCCCTGAATTTTTTCTTCTTCTGTTTCTCTTCTAGAAGTCATCTTTTTAAGTTTTCTGATGATATATAACATCAGACCCTACGTTACAGAATATTTTCATAGTTTTCAATAATATTTGCATATGTAGAGACTTTTTTTTAATAAAAGGCATAGCATCAGCTTTTAAGAAAGCAGAATACGATACAATACTGGACATATGTACAGACTAGGCAGAAATAACATCTAAGGGCATGATATGTGCTAAAACCTTAAAATAATAACAAAATGTTATGAACATATTCCACAGTATATGGCATGATGCTATCTATAACCTGAAGATTTCTGAAGGAGGATGAATATCCATCTATATTCCTAGTTATAGAGAGTGATTAAAAAGGGCAGGCCTGGTGCAGTGGTGAGAGCTGTCTCACAGAGTCACCAGGTCGTGGGTTCGAAGCAGCCTCTCCGCAGATTTGCGGGGGGAAGGCTTGCCTCGGTTTTTCCCTTCCCCAGACCCCACTCATGTGGGAGCCTCCGGCACTGGGTCAGCCCTTTTTTTTATAGAGAGAGTGATTAACTGATTACAAAGTACATATATAGGGGAGAACTATGATTAAAAAATAAAGGAGCAGAACCCAAGAGCCCAGATAGCACTAGTTGACCCTATGATTTAAGCATATTCCAAGCGACAAGCCAACTATACAATAAAGCAATGCATTACGCATGCATAGGGAGAGGAGAAAACATCTCTAACAATTTCAACAGAGGATAAATCAATTGACCCTATGATTTGAAAATGTCTCAATAACAAACAAAATAGGAAAAGAGATATTGATCACTTACTCTCAGAGCGGTCCGCAATACGGTAGTCTTTTTTCCATTCCCATGTGTCCCTGTAAACTGAACCATCACGGTGACTGCTATCTGGAAGCCTATTAAGAGGGACTACACGGTCAACAGAGGATTGATGTGCCGCTGCTGCCTGGAGCACATTGGCTGCCCTCTTATCGGCGTCCGCTTCTAGCAGAACCTCCCCGAATTCCCCCCATGTTTCCCATGTTTCTTGTTCGCCATCTGTGACATCCGTAGTTGTCCTCCGAGCTTCTTCATCACCATAAATGATATCCACTCTTGAACTCCTCCCAGTACTACATATACACTTGACACTCCCATGGCGAGCTATGAACTCCTTGGCTGTGTCACTATTCTCAACATTTTCCATAATATCCCTGGCAGAAGGTATGAGCTGTCTGTTGTCTGGTTTACCAGACTTTTCCTCGCCTCTTACTCCACTGCTGCTGCTGGCCTTGTTCTGAGATCCATGACAAAATCTGTAGTATGAAATACCAATCTTAGCATCAACATAAATAAGATGGCATCATCAATCAACGACTCAAGGCTGAAATTGCAACGGAATGTTATGTAAGCCTGAAATCGATTTCAGTTTTCGTCCTTTTTACTCTGGTAAAGGTTTTCTCCCATTTGACATAAGAACGGCAAGTACATACAATACTCAAAGTTGAGCACAATCTAAATCCGAAAGTATATACGAGTCCTAAAGGCGCAAACTTTAGCATCAGAAGAAGAAAACACACCGGGAAACACGACGGACGGGGGGATTGGAAGCCGCCATGAGTGGGAGCCGCCACCAGCGAGGCGGGGCAGATGCCATAGAGAGGAGAGATCTCGAAGTAGGAATGAGGCGGTGCATCGGGGATTCGGGGCAGTTCCGGCAGGAGATTCGGCAATGTTAGGGCGCCGTTTGGTAGAGCTCACACGACAGCTCCAGCTCCCAACCCGATAGAGGAAGAAGAGAAGAGGAGGGCGGGCTGGATCTCGGGCGACGGCGGTTGGATCGGCGAAGGCGGGCTCGGAGGGGCGCGGACGGGATGGCGTTCGTCGAGCGCCTCGCCGGGTCGATTCAGGTAGGGGATCCTAGCTCACCTCGAAGACACTGTGCCGAGTATTTCAGGCAATTTCACCCGCGGGGGCGCAGGGGCAACATCGGACCCGCAATAGTAGGGCTCAAAGCGGCGGCTGAGCTAGGTTTCCAAAGGGGCGCGCGGCGGCCAAGGCCTCCTATCTAAATGCTCAGGGGACCCTCGGTTCGCGCGCTAGGGGCGGATCGACGGTGGCGGCGCCCTCCGAATCGCGCGGCGCGCTGGGGAAGAGTCGCTGACATGTGGGGCCCGCGGGTCAGCGGCAAAGGGCGCAGGGGGGCGCAGTGCGGCTGCGGCTGACGAGCGGGGCCCGCTGGGCAACGACTGTGGCTGGTCCAGGGCGGATGTCACGTTTCACCCACCGGTAACCCCGCGGGGCCTGAAACATATATTTTTCTTTTTTTTTTCCTGCCTCCGTTTAGAATTATTAATATTTGGCACAATCCTATATAAAGCTTAGGATGATTTGTATGGATTTCTTTATCTATACAGTACTCCCATTGTCCGTAAAAGAATGCAATTCTAGAACAGTGTCATGGTTTAGTACTTCAAGTTTGACCAATTATAATTAAAAAAATATAAATATTTATAATATCAAATAAACATCATTAGATTAATTACGAAATATATTTTTATAATAAATTAATTTGAAGTTATAAATGTGAATACTATTTACTAGAAACATGGTCGAAGCAATTTAACTAGCACACATACCATAGTTACTTCCTTTCACGGGCAGCGTTGGTATGTATATGTAGTAGACTAGATTTAAGTTACTGTAAACTTCCAATTCAATGGTGATGATAAATTGATAATGGTGTGTTAGTCTCTCTCAAATTTTATAATTGTTTTGTTATAAAGTAAAATATACCGGAGGTCCATTAACTTTCGTTAGGGTGTCATTTAGGTCCATCAACTTTGAAACTGTATTTTTTGGTCTATTAACTTTTAAAATGGTTCACTGCAGGTCCATGCTATTTATTTAACCTTAAATCCCACGTACATTTACAGAAAATCCCCTACCTTTCTTTATCTTCTGACGCGGTCGCCGTCTACGCACCTATGCATGCGGTGTTGATTGCTTCCGCCCATAGAGCTTCGGGGGTGTTGTACTCATCAAGCATTGTTCTTGCAAGAGTGATCAATGTCCGGTTCTTCCTCTCAACTACACCATTTTATTGGGGAGTGTATATTGCGGAGACATCATGTTTGATTCCAACTTCATCACAATAGGCATCTATGTTTGTGTTGTCAAATTCTTTTCCATTGTCACTTCTAATCTTTTTGAGATTCACTTCAAATTTATTTTGACCTCTCTTAGCAAACTTCTTGAAGCAAGATGCAACTTCGGATTTGTCATGAAAAAAGAATACCCATGTATACCTTGAATAGTCATCAACAATCATAAGACAATAAAGATTTTCTCCCAAACTCTTGTCTGTTGTTGGTCCAAATAAATCCATGTGAAGGAGTTCTAGCACTCTTGTAGTTGACATGAAAGATTTGGTTGGATGAGTATTTGCAACTTGCTTGCCGGCTTAACATGCACTACAATGCTTGTCCTTCTCAAACTTCACATCCTTCAACCCTCTCACCAACTCATTCTTCATTAGCTTCTTGAGTGAGTTCATACCAACATGAGCAAGTCTTCTATGCCATAGCCACCCAAGTGTTGTTTTAGTGAATATGCAAGTCTTTAAGTTTGCATCTTCGGAGGTGAAGTCTACTAGATATAGGTTGTTGTATCTAAATCCTTTGAATATCACTTGATCATAATCCTTCTTAGATACAACAACTTTCTTCTCGGTAAACAAGCATTGGAAGCCAAGATCACACAATTGTCCAACGGATAGCAAGTTGAAACTCAATGAAGCAACATATAGCACATTGAAGATGAAATGATCAGTTGATATTGTCACTTTGCCCAATCCTTTAACATTGCCCTTTGAGTTATCTCTAAATATTATTCTCTCTTGTCCATCTACCTCTTCATCTAGTGAGGTGAACATACGAGGATCATCGGTCATATGTTGAGTGCAACCACTATCAATGACTTTCACTGGTCTTGTAGTTCACCTACACACAAGAGATTCAAGATTTAGGAACCCAAACTTGTTGAGGGCCCTTCACCTTCTCAACAAGTGACTTAGCCACCCAAATCTTCTTAGGTCTATTCTTGTTAGGGGTTCTAAGAACATGACTTTCATCTTTTCACTAGAATCCTTTCTAAGCATGTAGTGAGCATTGAAGGCAAATGGTCTAGCATGCTAGGGCAAGGGTTATGGTGGTGGAGTTTGACACTCATGAGCAAAGTGGCATTCTTGTCCACACTCAAAACATCTCTTTGGCTTTGGCTTTGGCTTTGATTGTTGTTGTTGAACTTGAGCCTTCTTCTTCTCTACACTTGCCATATATCCAATGCCACTTCTATCTATCTTCATGACGGTGTTCATGAGTAGCTCACTTTGGAGATGCTTGCCTCTTTCAAACATACTCAATCCCATCTTGAGATGCTCTTTCTCCATCTTGAGCTTCTTGTTCTCTTCATTGAGAACATCATTGTTCTTCTCTTCCTTGAGCTTCTTGTTCTCTTCTTTGAGCTTCTCATTCTCAAGGATCAACTCTTCATCATGATCAAGAGTTTCTAGCACAATGGTGTTGTGGCTTTTTATCTCTTCAAGATCTTTCATGAGCTTTTTATTTGCATTCTTGAGCTTGACATATTCATCATAGTCATTGCATTCAACCACTTTCTTGTCTTTGCCACTAGATCCTTGCTCAATGCTCTCATCAATTAAATCATCACATGATGTAGCTATATCAATCTTAACAACATGGTTAGTAGCATCATGTGGCTCATTTGGTAAAAATTCTTGAACAATAACAAGAGTATCATAATTGATCTTTAGAGTTGTATATTCATCTTTTAGCTTGTTGTGGCTAGTGATGAGCTCATTGTGCATCCACTCAAGTTTATCATGTTTGTCTTTAAGCTCTTTCATAGAAGATTTGAGCTTCTTGAGTTTGGATGATATAGCATCATTTGTTTCTTTAAGCTCAACATTAGCCTTTTCCAATGTATCATATTTTGCTAAGAGTGAATCATTTTTAGCATCAAGCTTTTCATTTTTAGCTCTACTCTTTCTAATGATCTTAGTGTATTGTCTTAGTATTTTGACAAGATCATCATATGAAGGTGAATCATCATCATCGCTATCGCTATCATCATCACTAGCTTGCTCATCATCACTACTATCATCATTATTAGTTACCTTACGTTCACCCTTGGCCATAAGGCATAGGTGTGTAGAGGATGATGGCAATGGTGGCGGTGAAGATGAAAGATCAATAGCAATAGCGGCCATCTTCTCATTTTCACTATCATCATCGGATGATCCACTAGATGAATCAATGTCCGTGAGCCAATCACCGACGATGTAGGCCTTTCCACTCTTCTTCTTCTTGTGGAAGTCCCTCTTTTTGCCATCTCTCTTCTTGTATCGCTTATTCTTCTTCTTCTCTTCTTCTTCTTCTTCATTGCTTGAGTCATCTTTATTGCCCTTGACCTTGTTCTTGAACTTATCTTTCTTGGGCTTTGTACATTGGTGTGCTAGATGACCAAGTTCACCATAATTGAAGCAATCCATTTTGAACATTGGCTTCCTTCTAGAGCTTGTGAAGAACTTCTTCTTCTTGTCGTCAAACTTGATGCAACTCTTGTTTAGCTTCTTTAGCATCTTGGCGGCTTTTCTCACCATGAGAGCAATATTTTCATCATCGTCTTCTTCATCACTTGAGCTCTCATACTCAAGTCTTGCTTTGCCCTTCTCTTGGCTAGCTTTGAATGCTAAGTCCTTCTCTTTCTTCTTGGTAGAGGATGAGCCATCTTGTGGCGTGATGTGCATGTACATCTAATGAGCATTGATCTTTCCCAAGATTTGTGTTAGTATAGCGGTGGAAAGATCACCTTGGTGTAGCACGATCACAATATGCCCATATTTGTCAATGGGGAGGACACTCAAGATCTTTCTCACAACATCGGATGATGACATTTGAGTAAGTCCAAGCCCATTGACTTTGTCTACAAGAACATTCAAACGTGAATACATCTCATTAGCACATTCTTTGGGAAGCATCTCAAATGAATTTAGCTTTTTAATTACAAGATGATAGCGTTCCTCACGCTCACTCTTGGTTCCCTCATGGAGCGCACAAATGTCCGACCATAGTGCATGGGCGTCTTTGTGGTTCCTTACGCAGTTGAACACATCTTTGCAAAGGCCTCTAAAGATGGTGTTTCGAGCCTTTGCATTCCACTTTTCATAATTAACCTCATCATCTTGTAAGTGTGTAGCATCCCGAGGTTTTGGGAAGCCTTGTGAGGCGGCTCTAAGTATACCAATGTCTAGAGCTTTTAAGTACGCCTCCATGCGGATTTTCTAATATGGAAAGTCATGTCCCTCAAAGATAGGAGGAGGTCCATCCCCGTGAGACATCTTGCTCTAAGCGATTAAGCTTAAAAACATGAGCACGAGGCTCTAATACCAATTGAAAGGATCAAGATGCCCAAGAGGGTGGATGAATTGGGCTAATTCTAAATTTTCTTTCAATAATTAAATCCTACGGTTAGCCCAATTAACCCCTTATGTCTAGAAAAATGTTTCTATTAATCTAAAGCACAGAGGACTAGCAACCTATGTTCCAAACTTACTCTAGCATGTCAATTCTATGAATGTAAAAACAAGTATTGAATTGCACAAAGTAAATGCTC